TGCTTAAATGTACCTTTAATCTAGGCTAATTAAACTTTACTCATCAAAAGTGAATGACAAAAAGTAGTTTCTTAAGATCCAATAAACTAGGTAACAAGGTTTTCGTTGCGATTTTCAACAAAAGCATTGAACTTTCGAAACACAAACAATTACAAGCACACGCATCCACAACTCCTCTTAAACTGAGAGACCTTCTAATGTAGTAGTACCACGTTTTGCCACACTAAGTATCCCTATCAGTAAGAAACTGAACGTCCCCTTTTGACATGCCGTCCCCATTTTGAACAAGTTTCTCCTTGACTAAGAACTAAAGATTTTACACTGAGAACCATACAAGTTAATTAAATTAATTGATCAAAATTATTAACACAAAAATATCTGATATAACAATTTTAATTTTGTTACATTTACAGTCGCAAAACCATTTTTCTCTTCCTGGTAAAGAGAGTGAAACACATGGCGAATGCCTGTATTCAGAAACGAATGTACATAATACATTTACCAGAATACGGTTTATTTCAATTTATGTTTCTATGAACAAAATATATCAAAACTTTGATTTTCTTCATATTCACAAAATTGAACCAATTTCTATTTTTGGATTCTGTAAATGAATGTGGTATTTTCTGTTTCTCATTTACGTTGTTTTTGAACTCGTGAATATTTTCATTTTCAGAAATATTTACATCATGGCAAACATTTCTTGCAATAAATTCAGTAGCTTTTCCTGTGTCGTTTGTTATATCTGTCCTATAAAACATTTTTTTGTTTTTCCTGGCAGCTCCAATTGTCAATGTGTGATTTTTTTGTGACACCAATTCACCAATTCACCAATTGTAGGCAACATATCATTCATTCCCATTTTAAAATGTGTAGAACACATCAATATCATTCCATCAAATGCATGCGCCAGTTCTTTATTTCAAAAATAGTATTATTCCAGTCTCTTGCAAATTTGAAAGAATATTATGATAGTCATCAATGCAGATGCAAAAATATTTTCAAAACTTGTTTGCTATTTTATACGATTCTCTACAAAATGTATGCATTTCTCTAAATTAATTTTCATATTTAATATAACTGAAAATGTAACAAGCACAGCTTTTTACTTTCTCGTATACGTACGTATGTACGGAGTTGCTGCGGAAAATCGATTTCAAGATTTCAACGGTAATACACGATTTGGGGAGAAATACACCCCTGATACCAATTTTTTTTTTGTTTTTTCAAACCGTCCGTCCGGGAACATCACTAGCGTCTAAACCATGTGTAGGATTTTTACAAAATGTATATACCCTGGCCGATCTGGATCCATTGATGCGCTGCGTTTTTGAAAAATTTTCTTTAGAAGTTGGCGGTACTTTACACGAAGATAGGAACATTTTCAAAATTTTCTAAAAAAATGGCACTAATTTTTTTCTTTAAATTTGCTTTAAGAATGCAATAAAATGCACCTATAAAGGTGGCATAGGTCCAATATTCGATGATAACTGATTTTTCGAAAATTGCAAAAGTTTGTATTTTTTCCGGTGTCTTCCTGCAACTACAAAATTGAAGAGAGGGGTTTTCTTTCAAATGAAATTTGTTACATAATTAGTTCTTTCAATAAGTTGTTTTTTTTGAGAATTGTAGTAATTTTCGCGTAATATTGCGTGCGAATATGTACATTATTAAAAATTACAAAAACAAGATTTTCCCGAAAACTGCTCCAATTTTTTTCTTTGAATTTTTGGTACGGGTAGTGCTAAATGTACCCTGTAATATGACATACACGCCTTATTGCTTTATCGTTTTTTTTCAAAAAATATAAAAATGTAATTTTTTGACCTTTTTTCAGATTGTTAATATTTACATAAGTAGTAATTTTCATGTTCACATTATTGTATTTATACTTACATGTAGTTTAAATAATGGCATAAAGTTCCAAAACTCAACAATTTTTAATGAAAATTTTCAAGAATTCGCATTTTTAGACACGCTCAAACGCCGTTTTCTCAATAATGGCTACAAATTTATTCTTCAAACTTTTCGAACGGATAGTGCTAAATGCACTGTTTTCTATCACGTAAAGTTCATTTTTGTGTATTCTTTTTTTTTTAAGAAACACCATTACAAATGTGAAATTTTGAAATATCTCTCACGCCGTTAATGAGGACATTTCCAGCAATTTGTAAACATTACTGCATTAGCAAGTTAAAGTGTTTCAAATGACTTGATATGAAGTTTTTCGATAACTCAAACATTTTCGGAGAAAAAGAGTTTCAAATTTCACATTTACAGAATGCTTAAGCCCCATTTTCTAAAAAATAGTTACAATTTTTTCTATGAAGATTGTCATTTATGACGAGGTTTTACTACTCTTTAATATTTTTAAAGTAATATTTCGGTTCTACTATTAGGAAACCGAAAAATAGAGATTTTTTTTTTTAAAGTTATTTGGTGGCGATAAAAGGCGGCTGGCAAGAGGATGGGACAAGACCGTAAAGCCAGTTCACACCAATGAAATTAGAACACTTTACTACGAGAAAGTCTATGCCATTCTGTACCAACACTAGTTACTTTCTCGTATATGTTCGTACATAGGGAGAAATAGTATACATAGTATAGAGGAAGTTATGTAATGCTACGGAAAATCTGATCCGAGATTTCAACGGAAATATACGTTCTGGAGTCCCCTGATACCCCTGATGTCCGACCTCCTGTTCGCCTGTCCGCTCATCTTCCTGTCAGTCAGTCTGTCCAGATCATACGTAGAATTTTTTTCTAAAATTGATATTATCCAGTCGATCTGTCTCGAGGCGTTGCGATTTTGAAAACCTTTCTTCAAAATTTATGAGAACTTTACATGAGGTTCCCCAGATATTTTCAAAATTTTCGTAAAAATGACTCCAATTTTTTTCATTAAATTTGTAATAAACACAACAGGGTAAATGTATGTAATATAGAAAATTCACTATTAAAGTTTATTACCGATTTTTGCGGTTAACTTCTATATATTTTAAAATTGCAAATGTTTTAATTTTTTCGGCATCTTACAAAATTGAAGATACAATCTTTCCTTCAAATGAAATTTGTTGTCCATAGTGAAATCTTTCATTACGGTCATGTCTATTCTTTTGAATCTTTTAGTGGTTTCACGCAATATTACGTGCAATATTACGCGTTTTTTTTTTGCATTGAACTTTTGGTAGGGATAGTGCACTCTATAAGATGGCATACAGAATAGTGCTCTATTCATTTGTTTTTTCAAACATTACAAAATGTTGTTTTTTACTTGTCTTTCACATCGTTAATATTTACATTACTGGCAATTTGTTCATATTATTGTATTTTTGAGTACATGTGCTTAAATAATGTCATAACGTTTCTCAAAAACACAACAGTTTTCTGTTAAATTGACCTCAAAACTCAGCATTTTCCAAAAACCCTCAAATGCCATTTTCTTAAAAAATGTACTAATATTTCTTCAAACTTTTCCAAAGGGGAGTGCTAATTGCAGTATTCAATACGACATAGATTATTTTGGGGTATTCTTTAGTTTTTTCTAAAATTACACAATTAAAAAAAATCTCTCATGCCATTAATATGCACATTTCCAATGATTTGTAAATACTATTGCGTTTGTGAGTTACAGTACCTCAAATGGCTTTAAATGAGGTTTTTCTAAAACTCAAAATGTTTTTGTGAAAAAGGGCTTCAATTTTCGCTTAAATGCCAGTTTCTTAAAACCATTCAAAATTTTTCCATGAAAATTATCATATATGATGAGATTTTACTTTTCTTTAATACTCTTAAAGTAATATTTCACTTCTACCATTAGGAAATCGAAAAATTGAAAAAATGTCAAGTAAGTGGGCAGCGATAGATGGTAGCTGGCAAGAGGATGGGGCAAGATCATAAAGCCAGTCCACACCAAGGAAATTAGAAAACTTTACTAGAAAAAGCCTGTGCCATTCTGTAACAACACTAGTTCTAAATTAAACACCCTCTTGTAATTATGAACAATTTTTTACAATGTATCTGAAAACATTTGAAGAGGAAAAATGTTGTGGTTGGCAAAGTTGATTTGTGTTTGTTCACTTTTAAATCATAGTAAAGCAGATTAATTGTACATAGAAGACATTATAGATGTTGATAATGTAGTTTCTTAATATCAAGTTTAGTATTTTAAGCAATTTGCTGAAATGCCGGTTTAGATGGCCAAGATCACTAAGGCAGTTGTGCCATAGCGAACTCGAACCGAATGATCACGGGTTCGAGTCCTGGCTTGGGCACGGTTGTGTTTGTCTTTTCACACCCCTATTATCATCAGATCATGCCATCCTCATAGTTACCATGCCGTTACATGCAATAGTGGTCGCTAATGACCTGGCACTTGATGCAACCTTAAATAACAAAAAATTGCTGAAATAAATCTCTTTATGCCAGCGATGAAATATTTGACATTTGTGAATCTGAATCATGGTAATTTTGAAATTACCAAAACCAGTGAAATATTGTACCTAATAACATTAAAACGAAGAATTTGTTTTTAAGTTAAATTCTTCAGCTGCCAGAAATGAAGGGAAATAAATGGGAGATAGTTGCAAAATTTTATCCATTTTTTTATTTCATTAAATTGAAGATTAATAATATTACAATGGGAAGTCATCAATTTTATTTTCATAAACTTAAAGTTTATGATGATGAGAAATGTACAATTTTTCTTAGGTTTTCTTTAAATTCACTCAAAACATAAGTGCTCATTAGTTCAGAAGGTGGTTGTATGAGATACAAGACCTCCATGCACTTTGGAATAGTAGTATAATATAATGAAAATAAAAATGATTTAAACTTAAAATGAATTAATATGTTCCAAGCTGCAAAATCCCCTACAATCCATATTATTGTAATTTTTATCCATAGTGAAGAAGCATCCTTGTTCAACTAATCTACAAGGAAATACACAATATCTACGACTCAAATCACTGTACCTAATTCATCATAATTTATGTGAAACATTAAATATTACATACTATGCTGTAAATGTTGTGTGTTTATAAAATTTACAAATAATAGAAGAAAGTTAGTGTTGTATTGCATTACCACTAGTTTTTAGCATTTTTTGATGGAATAATACCTGTAATCAAAGAAAGATTATTAAATCTTTCCAACCCTCACAAACATGTAGAAATACAAACACCCTTCTATGACAAAAAACTACACTTTCATGTGCCATTCAAAAAATAATGGAGATTAATCATACGCAAACTACTCATGGATTAACATTAACAACTTCTCTAGAAATGCATTTTGAACTTCTTCAAGGATATGAATATATTCAAGCATTATTCGTAATTTCAGATTCAGTACATGAAACAAAATTCTTTTTAACTAATGAATTTCAAGGTTTCATATTATTGAGATTAAATTCTGAACAATGTGTCTTAGACAACAGTTAGTGTTCCACTTTTCATGTACTAATGATTATTTCACATTTGATGTAAGTGGATAATTGTAACATTTCTTTCTGTTTTAGAACTTATTTCAGTACATTTAATTTTCTGAGAAGGTAGTAGTCACTTATTTAGAAAGCGCTACCAATGAAGTGTAAGTAATACTTTTAGTTCAATGAAGTATATCAACAGTTATTTTAGTTGTGTCCTTCATTTTTTTTTAAAAATATAATAGATCAAGTTGAATGGGGTGTTCAGCCTACAATCAGATAACTTTCCTAGTAAATTTTCTTAGTTATAGTCTTCTGAATCTTTAGTACTGAAATTACCCTTATTATACCAACCATAATTATCTAAAATTCTTCCAATTTGCTATCCTCATTTGAAAGATAATTATTCTACTCCTAGGACATTACCATGAGTGAAATCAAGATGCCCTCCAAAGAGCCAAATGGTGAAATATTATTAAATCATTTTTTGCAGTATTCAAAAGCCACTGATCTATACAATTAATGTCAAGTAATCATTCCGCTTTGACCAAAAATATACATACTTTATTTCCATAATTATTAAAATACTATCTGTAAAATAATAACAATACTCATGTCACCAAATAATAAAAATTAGAAACAACAGAATAAAACTGCCAAAAATATTAATCAGCAGTGTCATATAATTATCTTCTTTACTTAATTGAAATTGATTTCAATAAAATTGTTTAAAATAAAATATTTACTTATAGTTTTAATTAACCAAGTTTATTGAGTGGGTTCAATATGTACACACAATTGACGGGTTACAAATATAGTTTTCACAGTTCACGTATTTGTCCATTAAGCCTTCATTAGAATTTAGATAGCATAGTGTTTTTTTTACATAATAAATGTATTAAATACCTCAAAATGTGTAGCATGAGACAAATTTAAAGCAAGTACCAGTAGTGCTTCACAGAAGTGCTTTATCTCAAATTAAAGGATTCGGGAACTGTTTCTTCAAGTAAAATATGCAATTAAAACAAAAAATACAAAATATTGAATATATTTATATTTTTTAATTAAAATAAAAATTACTTTCATTACCTGCAGATTGAAAAAAACTATCTTCAATCCATACAACCATTATCTTATATTAATTAAAATGTTAAAAAATAGATACTTATTTTGAAGAAAAAAAAAAATAGTGAATACAAAATGTAATCAATCAGTAAAACTTGAAAAATATTTAGCTTAGAAAACAAAGAATTAATTTTAAAATATCCTAAAAGCTTTATTGTTTGCACTTTCAACATGCTATTATGTTTTTCAAAAGGAAAAGAAAAATGATCCTATTTGGTGATGATCATGTGATTTCTAAAAATTACAGAGATGAACTACAAAGATGACGTTTTCAAAATTATTTATGATTGCAGAAGAAAATGGAGTTAGAAAATCAAGAACAATGACAATGGATATCTTGAATATCTACGCAAAGAAAATCAGAGAGACGTAAAATGAAAGATACAGAAATTACAGAACAATTATCTATCTACTTACCTATATTAAATTCACATTAGATTATATAGATTCACATTAGAAGCTGAATATTTTAATATGAAATCAGCCAAACAAAATACAGTTAAAGGCAGTATTATAAGCAGTGTCATATCATGTACAGATACAAAGTAGAGAGTCTCTAACTGTTAATTTTAAGTAAAGGGGAAATACAAATAGAATCTGGCTTATGTATTTTAGTACAACCTATACATCTAGATAATAGAAGCTCTCAGATTGCAATAGGATTAAAAAGTTATGACCATACATACTGAATACTCTTCTTCAGTTCTGAATTTATTTGTCTTTATCTGTTTTTCTACACTTAGTTTTCTGCCAGAAAATTTTGCAACTGCATCTCAGCCAAAACTCAAGGCAGGGACCTCTTTACAAGCATGTCTTTGCAACCACTGGTTGGCTATACATTTCTCACCCAAGAGCATTTTCAAATAATTTAATGTTGTGTATTTTGATTGATTTAACTGATTAATTTCTTTGGTGATTAATATCTGAAGCAAACAATAACTTTTTTTTAGGAATTACCACTTTGAAGAATCTAAACAAGCAATCAGAAATCAAAATCTGATGCACAGATGGAAGAATCACATTGATAATCTCATAAATGTTGGATTTTGAAAAGGATGTTGCAACTGTATTGCCACTCCTGTTCAATGTCTAGGGCTAGGTTTGGCAATAAAAATCAAAAGTAGAAAGGGACAAAGAAAAAAACATACTCTACACAGACTGATTCTGACAACATCCGAAAATAACTTACAAAGAACTGCCTTCAAACTGCCCACAATTAGCAAGGAATACAACGAACATGTCAATAGCAAAAACAGAATTAATCAGAATCAAAGGAGAGTAACACTACAGGTTCAAAATAGCAATAGAAAATAAAAGAACAGAACAAGTGATAATCTATACTTACCTAAGAAATAAGACAGCTTTATGGGAAGAAAACATACGTATAAAATTGGTAACATAGAAAAGAGTCAATGAAACAGAAAGTAAATTTTGAAACATGACCAAAGAAACAAAAATTAGACTCCATAATATTGCAGCATAACAACCTTATTATATGGAAGCAAAATGTGGACCTTAAAATAAAGACAAAAATAGATTAGAAGCAGCACAGATGAGATAACTGAGATCGTTAACAGGAGTATCAAGAAAAGAAATAATAAGAAATAAGGACATTATTAAAAGTCTGAAAATTGAAAACATAGTAAATGAAATAGAAAGATATCATAACCAGCCGGGATAGCCGAGGTTGCAAAGGCTGAAGGAACATAGCTGCCTTTGAATTTGTAATGCTACACCATTAAACACGAAACATTTGAAAACTACAATCAGAAAAACGAAACCAAAAGTGTTCTAAAACAACCATAAAAATGACAGTGAATCGTGGGGGCTAAAATAGACAGTCATACTTGTTGTTATCCTTGATAATGTAGATTGTATAACTCCAATGTGTCCAAAACATTAAATATGGTAACACTCAAAGTATAAACCTAATCAAATCATGCCTAAATGCTACGGTCATTTAATGATCCTGATTTAGTGATATCAATCCAATTAAAGAGTTCTAATCCTTGACGACCGTATACTGCTATTTAATCTACACATGTTAATCTTTCAAGAGAAAGGATAAGATTGAATAAAATAATTAGAAGAAAAAAACTCACACAAATTATCCTCTTAAAATTATCTACTTAGAAAGCAAAATAAGATTTTGATCACTGGTGAAAAACTTTGGGTCCTGAGAGCTGAGAGGGTTAATTTTCATAAGTGAATAAAATCTATTTACACTCAAATGCGATGTTGAATATAGATAAGTTTTTTATTATCATGAAATATCTAAGTAGTCCTTGAATGCTGAAATGTAAGAAATATTTCGTTGCTTTAATGAGATTGTTGTCAAAAAGAGTTAAACAAATTGACAGTGTGTACTCAACTATTAAATTAAATTCTCAGCAATTGATTAAAATTTTCAACATTACAAATTTTGCAATTGAAAATATTAATTATGAACTGACACTAGTAGCCAACCGAGCAAAAAAGCTGCAGAATAAAACCACATAAATTGGTTCTCTAACAGTAGTGTTCACAGGCACACTACGTAAGAATAACAAATAAAATACACTTGTATCACCCTATAACAAAATAAATTATTTGAAAAAAAGCAGACTTCATGAATACTGCAATAAGAGAGTTTTGTGTATATCAATTACATCAATCAAGTTTGAAACTGTTTCATTATTTTTCTGATTTTTTCCAAATGTCTAGGTATTCAGTGAAACCATATACTCCTCTCACACGTTTAAAGGCAGGATAGATTTCTTATAATTTCTGCAATCATTGTTTATGAGTAAAATAGATTGAATAAATTAATTAATAAACTATAACTAGAGAAGATAAATATTTCAAACCACAAACATTTGTAAGAACAGCCATGGTTGAGAAAAATTGAGATTGAGAAACTAATTTGTATTTAATGAATTAAATAGTTGCAGTAGATATCTAGTTTATCATGGTAGTAAATATAAATAAAATGAGAACAATCAAATAAACAACAATTTTTTGTTGTTTGTACATCTAATAATATTTTAAAACAGAAAAGAAACAGGACTAGTTTGGGGAAATATTCCAATCATCAGTGGTATACAGCAATATGAAGAGTATCTTGGATCATATTTATTACATATAACTGAAAGAACTTTAAAAACAGTGAGATAAACAGCATCCTAAGATATTTTATTCTCTTAAAAATCTAAGCGCTTTTATATTTTTCTCAATTACATGATAATCACATATCCTCAAGAAAACTGATTTAATTTATCGACAACATTTCATTTATTAATTCTAAATCTTTAAAATTAATATAACAAAATTTGAGGCTGACGCCCCGTCAGCCCGACGCCCCGTCAGCCCGACGCCCCGTCAGCCCGACGCCCCGTCAGCCCGA